ACACAAGCACCAAATATAAAATTACTATCACACACATTATAAATTATTATGCAACTAAACATGACATAACCTGTAAGTGTTCAGCAATCCTTGTTTAAAATAAACTATAAATTGAAAACACTAAGAAAACTCCATGAATATTTTAAAATCTTTGCAATAGAGACAGAGCTCTGACCAATCATATAGCACCCCCTGGCAGACAGTGCTTAGAGTCAGCTGGCAGAAGCTTTATGCATTTTATCTTTCTATTCTATATTAAAAGAGAATGCAGCTATTGGAGAAGAGAATTAAAAAGCAATATACCAACAAATTAGTTAACCCACAGGAATTCAAATGATCTTGTGAAGAATTCTGTTGAGTAGTTGCTAAAATAAATGACAGAAATGAAAACAGGCAGATGAAAATAAATTTCTTTTTGACAAAGCTATTTTAAATAACAAATTAACACCACTTAGGCTTGTGTTGGGACTAAAAGACTACTAGAGATAGTTTCCATGTTGCCATACTTTGACAGAAACAGCAAATGAATGGAGGGAAAAAGGCACTTGGCAAAAGCATATTAAAATAATAACCTGTCTCTCAGAGCACTACTCTACAGATCTGTTCTTTTCAACACAAACTCTGGGTAAACTGCTGCTGGACATAGCATTTCTTACTATTTCCTGCAAGAAATGTTTTTAATGAAACAGCCTTTCCTGAGCATGGAAGATTTTCATTCAAAGCATCTTCTGGGCACTTGGGCCCAGCCTTTTTCCTGGGTAACTTACAGCTGTTCTCATGGCTGCACTCAGCTTCTCTGATTTCAGAACAGCAAGTGGCCCTACAATAGTCTCCAAATGCAGGGAGGATTTACATCATGTATTCAGATTAACCAAGCTTCCTAACCCAACCCTCAGCACCCTTGAGTTTCTCTCTAAATCTTTCATCCTCCTCTTAAAAACAAAGAAAAGATGGTCTGAGCCACTGCCTGAACCTCATAGCACAGCTCCAGCAATATGGCAAATGTGTTTCTGAATACAATAATAATGAAGTAATGAGAGGACTGGGAGTCAGGTGAGATTTGGGGTTTTGGAGGAGAGGCAGGCAATACTGGTGGTCAGAGAGACAGAGTGTCACTAGAAATAGCACAGTCTGCACTACACTCATCCAGAAAAGACTCGCCCTCATTAAAGAATCCAAGCAGCCCTAAGATAAACAGGAATTTCCTTGCATGCAACAGTTAGTTAAAAAAAAAAAAAAAAGTAGCAAAGTACAAGTAAAGAAATGGTCTGTTGCAAGTAGAAGTTCAAATCAACCCATAGCAGCCCTGAGTCTGTTGAACAAGATGTGATTTTACTGATGACACTAAGTTATTCAAGATAATTAGAGAATTTGACTGAAGAAGGATTCTAACAATGAAGTAGCAGCTAGCTCTTACTCAGCAAGTCTCAAAAATAATGACAATGAGGTAACTCATAGTTATAAAGGGTTTTGCAGGTGCTGGAAACTAATATGGGTTCAAAAGGAAACAAAAATTTAATGTCAGAAAATGCCCCTGTTTACTTTCCATGCATGCAGGAGTCACTAACAGGTCAGGAATTTAGAGTCTGGAATAATATTAGGAATAGGGGAAGGGAAGCAAATACTTGCTCTGTTCTTACATCCTTCCTTAAGCATCTTATTTGTGGCTACTGTTGAACTGCAGGTCACAAGTTCTGTGGACTCTCCTATGAACAGCTGCTGAACTGCAGCAATGTTTGTTCTTATATAACATTATTCACTGAGGTGCTTACAGCCACTTCCACATTGTTAGATTTACAAGTTTTGCTGCATGAGTAGGTGCCTTCCTTCTCTTTCCCCTTAAAGACTTAACACTGTAAGCAAATGCAAGATGCTGTCTAACACCATGTTATCTTTGTCAAAGATAATTTGCATCTCTCATAGGCTGAACTGATAATTTCAGAGAGAAGTGTTTTGGTTATTACTATTGGCAGTTCAGGACGTACCTCAAATTTACATTGCATATTTAAAGTGCACTTTTAACATTTTTAAGAGACTGCATTGTACAGTAATTCAGCACTTCTAAATTGTAATTACACCTTAATATTTGGATTACACTTGCAAAGCAGTCTCTCTAGCACAGGGCAACAAAGTGCTGGGATAAGCCAGTATGAACTCTATACTGGCAGGCTCTAGTCTGGACAGGGATTAATAAATTCAGCTTCCTTGCAGCCTGTGGGCAACACAGAGATCACATTTCAGGTGTTTGTGGGTTTTTTTTTTAAACCACCCACTCTGTACACTGGAAAGTCACCAGGTTTCTACAAATGGTAGAAATCCCATTTCCTCACACACTTGACAAACTGAAGAAGACAAAGCACGTGAGCCTCGACAAAACCTTGATGTAATTCAATGAGTAACATGGTTTAAAACATGCTCCAGTTTGGTGCTTGGATATTTTGATAGCTCTGGGAGAATTATGGAGCGTGATCACAAAGCTGATCGTGCTCCTTGCTTTGATACTGGTCACAGGGAAGCTCCATCCATGCAAACCCAATCCTCCAGCCTTACAGCAGCTATAACATGACTCTTCTCATCTCAGGTCCAAGAAAAGGGAGACAAAATAAGTCAGCTTCAAGAATATATTTTCCACGTGCAGCACAGAGAAGCCAAAACATGCACATAGTTCTCCCTGCCAATACTTACTGCAAGTACATGTCTAAATTTGGATTAGAGGGTTTTGGGGGGGATTTCGGTTTGGTTTTTTGTAAATAAGTTACTAAACCTATCTTCCTGATGTTTGGCAATTAGTTCAGTCCTTTGTTTTGCAGAGCTATTCAGAAGATACATGATTCACCCACAGTTAATTTACCCCCAGTTCTCCAAGCAAACTTTACCACAGCAATGGTAGCAAGCACAACCAAAAAAAGTCTCCTTTTTTTTGATGATTGGTACATTATTTAATAAAACAGCTCACTTCAGATGAGAGCTCTTTGTGGCTGCTTGGAAACAACAACATTCTCTTTGATTGCTTCTTAAGCATATCTAACTTTCCTTTCCATGGTAACATTGGATAAATTTATTTTGGCTTCTTACATGTTACCTGTGAGTTTCCAATTTCTTTTCACTTGTAACAATCCCATGTTGTCACACATGTTGTTAATGGTCATTTTCCAATCCCACTGACCAGAGGTCAATGAAGTACAAGATTTACATTGCTAAGGACTGGGACAGGAATCAGTGTAACATCTTCTGGAACTGATTTTTCAGGGTTTTGCATTGTTTTTTTCAAAGAAAATAAAATCAGATATACTACCATTAATAACTATACTGCAAAATTAACTTGTCAGTCCTGGTTGTTTCAACTGTTTTAATGCAAATTGTTTAGCTAAATAGAAGTATGCTGGATGTACTGCAGAGGCAAAATGCAATTAGTGGTCTTTTGGAGCAGGATTGTGAAAATACATTAGCTAGGATTATTCTTCTGATGTTTCTTCAATGTAAATTCATAGTATGAATTAGGCAAACCAAACTAGCAGTGGCCATTCTTATTTTTCAACTGTAATGTATAGATTTGCTCTGATTTGGGTACACTGTAGCTAGCAAATATATCATCTGGCAATTAATATCACAATCTAATCATCTCTGTCATGATAGAAACACATTGGTACTAGAAACTGCTGAAATCTGTGCATGCAAAGAGAATTAGTCAAGGAACCTTCCTCATGAACTATCTCCTGCATGTAAGCAGCAACTACTTTCCTAAAACGAAAAAAAAAGGCAACCCCCCTCCCCCTAAAAAAAACTTCAAAGCTTTAAGTGTTTTTACTCTTTCTAGAGCCACAGAAATAAAGGTGTTCTACTCAACTTGGCACAACAGTTGTTCTGAAAATGCTGTTTTGGACAGCAGACAGAGCAAAGGTTTCAGTCATGTGGAGTTTGAGATGAAAACTTCCTGCTCAAAATGAAATGTGTCATGAACACGTTATGAAAATTGGTAGGATCAAATAAAACAGTGCCACTATTTCAGGGGTAAGACTTCAACAATTCTGAGCTGCAGTTTCTGGGTATTTATCTACATTTAAAATTAGACCAAATTAAAAAAAGCTTAATGGGAGCCCTGTACTTGAACCTCTGATCTAGGGACGAGTCAGATATTTGAAGTAGTAGTAGTACTGTTTACTGTAAAATAAACATTCCTAATCTTCTGTGGTCTCCTTCTTCAGGTAATAACTTCTGATTTCTTTCCTGCATAACCTCAACAGGCAGCACAGGGCATGTTCTCACCTACAACAAACTACAGACTGGTAGCAATGGCACTTTCCAAAAGGGAGAGAGGCTGAAGAATAAAGGAAGGGAATCACATCCTCCTTTCCATGGCTAATGCACCCATTTTTAGCCTGGTTCATAGATGATACATCAATGTAACATAATCACTTATTTTATATTAAGACAAGAAGCTTTTCTAAGAAACTAGGGTTAGTAGACAGTATGATCCAAGTTTGTTTTCTATCTGATTAGGTAAAGTGAAGCCTTAGGTTGAAAAAAAAGAAAAGGCAAATTAATTTGACAGCCTGTTTAGACTAGAACAGTTCTGGACAAAGACCCAGAGATGGGTGTAACTACACAATCTCAGAGACAAAATGGCATCTGCTGAATTTTGATACATAGCTAGTTGGTGTTGTTTGGATCCAAGATGGATCACAACAGGAGACTTGTAGGACTGAACTTCTAAGGAGCCTACATGTTAGTTAAAAACAACTCCATCATTGGATTCAGTCCTAGAATCACAGAATCACTTAAATTATGTATTGCTAAATGCAGCTAAAATAATAGTTTACAATTTTTTCTATTTAGATACTTAATAGAAAATCAGTAAACTTAAACAACCCTTACAGACCATAACAACCATAAGCTAGTTGAATGTTAAGAACAATGAAGTGATGTACACCTCAAAAGATGAGGCACCATTTAAAGTTACTCTGTCCTGTTCTTCCTACTGACACCACCAGTTTACTCACTTGTAGCCATGATACCTGGAGGACATGCTGGTATCCCGTGATCAACTGCCCATCTGTAAGCTCCTTCACCAACTAAAAAGCTAGGAGACACAGAAGAGGGAGTTTAAACAAAACCATATAACAAATCCCCCTTTGCTTGCAATTATTTTTTTCTATTTGGTTTGGTCATTTTTAATTCATAAGCTGTCAATATTTCACAGGACTGTCTGCTATAATTACATTTGGCAACCTTATGTAGTTTCATTAAAAGATTATGCAGCTCTGACATCAAATTTAATTACTGGACAAAACCAAGTGCTAATAAATTTGAAATTCATTACAAAACAGCATCAGCTTTCAACTGCAGCTAAAACAGGACAGAGCTGTCTCAAGTCTTGCTCTCTATAACAACTTAGCAAGATCCTGAAGATCAAAAATATGGGATGAGAAAGGTGAGAATGGTAAGGTATTTCCAGTAAAGCCAGCCAGTGCTAAAGGAATACCAACAAGTATTTTGAGCAGTACAACACAAGCCAAAAACTAACCTTATTTAGAAGGACTGGGGTCTAGTTCATGGAATTTTATCAATCATTTGCAAATGAGTCTAGCCCACTAAATTTTAAATATACTTGTAAAAAAACTCCAGCCATCTGAGAAGCCATTTTCTAGTCAGCACTGAACACTTTACCATAGTGAGACAGTACACAGTGCTGTGACAACAAGAGCAAAAAATATACACACATGGAACTTTTAGAGATAGAAGAAAAAGCAAACCTCATGTTGCTTCCCCTTAAAGAAATTAATCTTATTGTCAAAAAAAAGGGTATGTAGTAGCTGGAAATTAGATACTTTCATAAGCTGCTGTGCAACACAATAAAGGACAACTACTTCCAATCTTATGTAAAAATGGACAATGAAGTTAAGAATAACAAAACTGCCTAATGGACACAAGAAGCAAAGACTAAGAATTTTCAGCAAATTGGAACAAGTGTTACAGAAATACCAGAGTTATGAAGATGAGTCTAAAGAAGTTATTATTCCAGCTACAAAGTCCCTGGGGCCATGCAGTTCTCAGCTTCTGAGAACACCATTGATATAGCAAATTCCTTGGCATTAATGCTGCTGGAAGTTTTCTGGCCAGTGCTATATCCAACACCTGCAGCTTTCATGATATAGTATTTTGTGGTGGTACATTCTATCTTCTATATGATTTAACCAATCTAAGAGGTGTGCCCAGTCTTTCTTTACACAAGTCTCAAAAAGGTTGAGCTACATGAGAATTTGAATCGTTAAATGCATATTTCTTACCATTGTTACTGCAGCTCCACATAAGAATTGTTCACGTTGCAAGATACTGTAGGATAAGTTATTGGGTACTTTGGCAGAACTCAAGCATCTACTGTTAGGTAAGTTAGTGCTCAAGAAACAACCTGGCACTGACACATAACATAAAAAACTTTCAATATTAACATAAAAAAAGATATGCAAACTGTAACCAAACCTAATTTAGTAGTATTCTCCATTGTATAAAAGAAGGTGGGTTTGGTCTTTACCAAACCAGACATTTTTGGGAAGTAAATAAGCACTTCCTTTTCAATAAAATAATTTACACAGAGAGGAAGGTTAGGTGGGAAAAGCATCAAACTCAATATTGGGAGTTTGATATATGGTAACTTGAGCACAGGTCAGTCAGAGACACTGTGTTTTACAAGCAGTTTCCAAACTGCCTTTTAATGTTTAAAAACAGAAAATGCCACTTATATTTATGAAGAGTGCAAAAAAGCACCCAAGAATGTCTCCTGACTTATGTCATGTGACTTTCAGCTTGTTCACATTTCTATCTTTAATTCCTAGATTCCTTTCACTCCTATAATACACATCGTTTTAGTTCCAAAGAGTCATTAAATTAGTTAGAGCAGAAAATTAACTGAGGCTCCATATCACCACAGAGATCATTCACCTTTTTTAAACGGTTCAGTTTGGATCATTAAAGGACACCATGATCACAGAGAAGTTAAAATAAACTGTTTACAAGACAAATAGCATTGGGATCTCAGTGCTTTGTTGTCTGCACATAAAACAGTTTATTGGGGGAGAGGGAAGATAAAGAAATCCAGTGCACAGAAAGCAGTCAAAACCACCCCAAGTTTCAAATGCCTTCAGGCTAATTCAAAATGCAGTTTTCCAAAGGGAGGGGTAAAAACAAATACATAAACAAAAGATGAATGAGTTTATTCTCTGCTACTCTGAAAGTTGGGTCTGCACAAACAGGACATAAAGATCTTTCTTGCAAATATATCAGACAGAGCACTCTGTAGTTCTTACAGGCTCAGGACACAGAAGATGAAAACACCCTCCCAGCAAGGAGGTGGTGCTCAGATATGCTCTCCAGTTCCAGGCACACTAGGCTGTATTAAGAGAAAATATAAGTAAAGGCCTCTCAAATGGTCTTTTTAGGCAATTTTCTCTAAGAACATGATTATGCTGGTGCTGAATACTCCAAACAGGGCCATTTAACATGGGCTGTAGGGAAACAGGCTGCTCCAAGCTAAACAGAAGTGTCAGAATGTTTTGGTTCATGGTCAAGGTGATCCTGATTGCACTAAATACACTTTGTAACATTTCAGCATAAAATGTAGCAATCACTCTGAAATCAGCCTTACAAAGAAGAAATTGTTCTGAAGACATACAGAGCAGAGATAGAAGGTGGTGCAAGTCTTCATTCACTCTGGGAAACTTTATTGATCAGACATTGTCCTACAAGTGACACAATGTTTGTATCCTGCACAAAATATCATAAAGCTGCAAAGCAATTACAAATCCCTTTATATCCAAAGGGTGGGGGAACCTAAGAAGGAATTCTTTCCCATATAGCTATTATTGAGAAAATAGACATGGACTTGATGTCAGTACTACTAAGGAATTCTAAGAAAGGAGACATTTAGGTGCATTTGTGCTGTCCTGCAAATCTTAACCAACATACATTTAAGAGCAGATGTAAAGAAGCCTTTTTCCTTAGGTCAAGGTTTCATAGTAGGAAACAGAAAATCTTCAAGCTTATTACTATGAAACATCTAATCCATTGCTCTGTCATCAAAGACCACTTCCAAAGGCTTATCCAGTTTGTAACCATGCAATTACAAAAGAACTTTCTTTTGTAAAAGTTATACAAGAAACAGGAATATCTTACATGAGATTATGCAACATTACAAAGTTAAGTGTTTTCTGTTCCTGCATCAGAGAAAATCCTGACAACACCAAGCTGAATAAAGTAAGATGGAAAGATGTCAGGACCTTAGAGGTTTCAACAACTGCACTACGCATTCAGGGTTTCTCTAAACTTGTTAAATTCTATTTGGATAGTGGAATTATGTGTTTTAAATAACACAGCAAGAGATTGATCCAGAAGGATACACTCTACAGAGCAATTTACAGCACATTAGATCCATCAGTTCAGACACTTGATCCCTCCTTCCCAATAAGCTCACCACCTCTGAATAACTTAATTCACACTCATTGGAATTTCTTCTATGGAAAATCAGAAATATACCACTTGGAATTGGTTTTGAAAAGCTATGCTGCACAGGGGTAAACAGGCCAAGCAAACTCTCTCCATGTGTTTTTATACTCCCTAATGCCACTTTTACTAACCTCACAGGTTCTGAATTTTTCCTGTTCAGTTGTGTGCCAAACATTTTTGGCAGAAAACATTAAGCTAGCTTAGATCATGCTATAGAAACAGTCTCTACCATAGGTTTCTTTAAGCAGATTGTTAGGCTAAGCAGTATCAGGAAGATTCCCCAATACACTATGTGCCAATGAGAACCAAGATGAAAATTGTGTATCTTTACAATTAAAAACCACTTCCTAGAATCCTGACACTTCCTAGGAATGCCAAAATATGGCTAATCTCTCGTCATTTGACCCTAAGTACCCCCAGCTTGGGCAGGAATATATTTCAGTCCCAAAACAATGTGTCATACTAACCCCAGCCACAAAGGGAAGGTGTGAAATCCTCCATACCATCCCTTCCATGTACATGAATTTTATCATTCTGACTTGGCAAACCCTGTGTGTATAGAAACATCCACCACAGCAAGCCCAAAGCAAAACCCATCATATCCCACTAGTATAGACTGTTTCCAGGGTAAAAAATTTGCCTCAATAAGATGTGCATTCAAAATCCAGAAGGGGCAAAAGAGGAAATGAAAATATTGATCAGGTAACCCAAGTGCACAACATTTGCACAATCAAGTGCATGTGCTGCTTCCAAAGACAGCTCATGTCTCACCTCGAGATTTGAGCTACTCTGCCTTTAAAAGCATCTGCTAGCCTTGCATAGTGCTCAAAAGATTTAATCTTACCCTTGGAGGGCAAGAGGATATAGTTCCTTTTCCACTCAGTATTTTTAAAATAATAGCAACATAAACTAGGTCATAAAGTCACAGCAAAATACCCAAGTGCTCTTCCTTACAACAATTCTAGACACTGATAATACAAGTACAACAATTTCAAGTGCTTGCTCCTGTAGCTGACTTCAGTACTACTTCTGGAACACCAAAAAAACCCACATTTCACACTCATTTCACATTCTGATGTACCTCAGCAAAGCTTTTTTGTTTTCTTCTGACAGCTAAAGAAATGAGCAGCTAACAGCTATTGAAACTAAAGTTCCTATTCTTTAGGAAACCTCTCCACAATTACTCTGTTCTTTATCCATTCAAGAAAAGTGCTTAAAATGCAAAATCTGTCTGTTGATGGTTTGAATTTCAAGGTGGCTTTTTTTATCTATGAACTTTTTTTGCACGTGACAGAACACTGAAATCTTCACTGTTTCAACTGGAATACTGCACTATTCAGCCGTAAGCCAATTTTACAGAACACTACAGTAAGGAAAGTAAAATTTATGAACCTAATAAGTAAAATTTTTTAAACTACATAAATGCTGGTTTAATACTTCTGCAAATACTGACCACTAGTTGACAAAAGACAGCAAATTCTGCCACAGGTATGATAACTGATGATAGCAGTCAATTAATATGAATGAATTATTCAGGTTTTCTCTACCTGTCTAATGAAAATAAGATGGTTCTAAGAGCAATCAACTCTGACACATTTCTTGGATTCTTTCCAGAATGAGGCAATAACATTTGAAGTTATTCTCTGTTTAATACTTACCTCTTCCATCTAAGTTTTATATCCATCTCAATGAGGGACTGTTTTCATTTTTGTTGTAAATATTATTTACATTTTACATTTATCTCTAAAATAAGAGGAAGTTACTAAACACTGCACATTTCCACAAAGGCAGAAAAAAAGGATTTTTTTCCTATACTTATTAAAAACTATTGCTTTTGTTAAAGGCAGAGGCAAAAGCAGTAGAATTTCCCTTTCATCTTGGTATTTTTGGGATTTTTCAAAAGGTTACAGACATAAGACTTAAGTATGACAACTGGAAATAATCAGACAGACAGGAACTATCACAAAATGATGTTGCCATCTATATCTAATACCTCCTTCCACTGAGTGCATAAGAAGTTTCAAGACCAGAGAACTTCTCTTCTTTTTAAAGGCAAACTATCACTGGTATGTAAAACAGCACCAGCCTTCCTGGGTGAGATAAAACCTTCAAATATTGCATCCATGCAGAAGAGACCAAAGACTGAAGAAAAGTCAAGCAGAACAAAGCAATTACCAAGGTGGAATTCTGCCAGCAGAGAGTTTCCCCTTCTGCCCTTCACACAACAATCTATTTGCAACCGAAACCGGATTCTTGATTCCTAAAAAAGAAAAATTAGCAAAAAAATGGGAACAAAACATTAAAATATTTTTCCTCATAGCATTACAGTGTTCATTCTGGCAGTGGAACTCAGCTTCCTTTAATTTCCAAGGGTCAAGTCACTTAGAGACACCTTATGTTTCAATGTAGTAACAACTTTTTCAGTTTTCCCTTCACATGTGTTAGTAGTGATGAAGCCTTCTCGTCTACACCTCCCCCACTTTTTTTTTTTTTTTAAGTAAGAACTAATATTGAAATAGAAGGAAAGATCTCCTACCACAGAAATCTCACGTAAAATCTATTGTATCTAAGGCTCAAAGATGTTTATAAGCATTAATTTTTCCAGCTGGAATTTTCATTTGGATCTATCTGGTCAGAAAAGAATTTACAGGATTCAGGCTTAGCTGTCTCTCACTCTCAATTTCCTCTGTCCTCAAGGTTGGAAGGATACATTTTGTAACAAAGAAGGCTTGAAACACTTAATTTTACTATTTATTTTAGATTTATATCTACATGAGGAAGCTATTACCACAGTTTAGAACTATTCTAGGATAAAGAACAAAGCTTAAAATCTTGTCAGAAAAGCTATTCAATAGTAATAGCTAAGGCTGTTCATGTACTTAGAAGGAAACCTCAACAATCCCTGTTTGGAACTTTATATCTATTTGTTTTATACTGAAAGCTAAAACTCTACAAAACAGAGAAACACATTAGCTCTTATACTAAATAAGCCCCATATGCAAATAAATGCCTGAGCATAAAAACAAATTAAAAGCCTAATTTAAATGTTTGTAATATTTTTAAACAACTGAACTTTATTATGAAATTATCATTCTTCAAATTAATCTGAGCAAATTGAGTCCCACTGTGGATACTGCGTGGTACCACACAATTGTGCTACGTCAAAGGATTATCAGTGAACTAAAAAGACAACATGTTACACAAAGAAATTAACACAAACCAGCATTTCAGGGAGCAGGAATGCCTCCTTTTTTAAAGGAGCAGAATTTATTCAAACACAGCAGAATTTACAATGTGTCCCCCTTCAACGCAGTAACAAAAAAACCCAAAATTGATCTTTGCACTTAAATCAGTAGTTAGCCTTATAATAGATAATTAACATACCACTCAGTGCTCCAACTGCTCCAAAATTCAATGACTTTCCATCCATTATACTGGCATCACATTCTATCTCACCCAGAAGGTTTAGGTTAGATCCCAATCCTGCATTTGTAAAAGGAGAATCCTAAAAATAAGAATAAAACACTATAAGGCCATACCCATAACAGATTAGATCAAAACCTCTGAATAACTGATCTGATGACACTGATCTTGGTGCAGTGCATTTTCTTACTTTAGTAGTTTAATATTCAAATCTTAGTTTAGTAGTTTAATCTTCCACAACAAAAACAAAGGTAATTTGAACAGAGCACCTAAAATTACTACAATGGACTGCTTTCATCTCACAGGGTGTGATATATCTCAAATGTAATCATGTGTTAATACAAAATCCAATCACCTAACGACTTAAGATGATCATTTCTATGCAAGCAAAAGCCTTAAAATATGAGTGAAAAATCTCTCCCCCCAACAAAGTACACACTTGGCTTGGTCCTTAACCCATCAAGTAACATTTAAGTAACACCTTATAATCACTGCTCAGACCAGTCTACCTTTGAAACTCCTAAGTATGACACCACAGCAAAACAGACCTGTCCTTTTCCTGAACGTTCTGAGTCCATGACTGCAGCACCACATGCAAAAATGAAGAATTGGCATCACTAACATTTCACTTTGTAAAATTCCTATTTGACCATTAGCACAAGGACTGTGGTCTGCAAGCTTCCTGACTAAAAACCAGTACTTAGTTCATAGAAACTATGGAACAACATTTTAACATCATAAACCTAACTTCTTTTTTGTTAACACCTTTGTTAAAAAAAAAAAAAAAAGCCACAGAAAATAATAAGTTCTGCATGCTAGAACTAAACCCCATTTTTACCCTTCCATTTCATCAGAGCATCCCTATGACTTTAAAACCACAAAATTTCAAAGTAGCACAGGTCAGCAGGCTCACTGCCAGCTCAATACAATCCCCTCTTCTAGATGCAAGGAATATAGAAGAAAGAGAGATAATAGCTAAATCCAATTTCAGAGACATGCTGCATGCTTTCAGAGTTTCCTGTTTAAATTACAACAGTGTAATAGCCTGATGTGACAAAGAACAATGTTTGTCTAGAGCAGGTGTGAACATGTACTGCAGAAGTATGACATCTCATTTCACTGATGAGTAATAAAAGCTGAATCAGGAAACAAATTACTGGAAACAGTTCAAAGTTCTGTCTTACATTTAAAATGAATGGGATGGGTTTTGAATGCACTAATTTGCAATGAATTTAAAGAAATAAGAGAGGTGAGCATACAGAACTGAAAAATAAATCTAATGTCAGTTAGCTTTTATTAACTTTCAAATGAGCAAGTAGTGAGTAAATTCAAAATCTGTTCTGCAAGATGTCGATTCAAATTTACATAGACATGTAAAGAGTTCAGTGTTTGAGTCACCAAAACACTTTCTGAAGAATCATGAATACGAGATCTCTGACTAATACATAATCATGAAACTGGCTTTCTCCTTCTGAAACAGCAAAAGATTTTATCCTATTTTATTCCACAGCACCTCTTCCAATTTACTATGTGTATTAATTTTGTTGTTCATTTTGACAGCTAAGCCTCACAGCAAATGAGTAAATTTGAAAAGATTTTAGGATGATGAAACATTTACAGTTTAGAGTGCACAAATAATTTTTTGTAGAAAGGGGATGGATGAGGGAAAACATGCTTAGAAATAGATGATGGCCTTGAAAAGGCAGAAGGCTCAGAGTAACTGCTGACTTAGCTGGCTTCATTGCCCCCCAGGCTCTGCAAATATGAAGAAAATTAATTCAGTGAAGTTTAGAAAAAAAAGGAAGCAGAGATTTGGTGGAAGGAATTGAAAGCAAACAGTGAAAGGTACTTGGAAGAGACAGTAAAACCAGGAATGCTTAGGATCAGAGTGCAAAAACCTGTGAGCCTGGAGACAAACCTCTAATGCTCTGTTCCAAACACAATCACCCAGTGCATTATACTCAAAAGAATTAGAAAAGAGGAAAAATGTTGTGCTCCACAGATTTGTGGCTGCCACAAAGCAGAGACAGCTGTTATATTAGGAATAGATGTCACGGCCAAATAAAGGGAGAAAGAAGGACCCACCAGAAAAGAAATCCTGGTAACACTGTCCAGGATTCCTCTGCATTCAAGGCACAAAGGCGTCTGCCATCTGGTAAAGGGAATAATCAAAAGAGAGCAGGGAAAAAATACAGGATACAGAGTTCACTTTATTTCTAAAGATCTATATGTGCTACATGCTTTAGCACAGCACATTCACTGGCACAATCTTAAGGATGCACCAAGAGATAACTTACTCAGAGGATCTAAAGTCAAAGGGAATGTCCTTTCTCCCTACAAAGTATTTATCAGAATGCTACAGAATTTTTAATAAATAAGAACTCCACATCAAATTGCAGATGTCTCTTTGGTGGGATAACTCTCAGGACTCAGAAGGAATCTTACCAGTAACAACATGAGTAACTTCTCCAGTAAAAAGAAACAAAGACCAAATTCTAAGCATCTGTTCAAAATTTCTGTGGAGTTTCAATTAGCTTTAGAATCAGACTGCATTCAATTAAGAAAACAGTCTCAGAATTCCTAAGAGGGAGATGGTTTAACTTCACACATCTGAACGGCAATCTGAAAACATCTTTAGAGAAACTGGGTGTGAACCCATGGAATTTTTTGATATCTATGAGTGTCTCTGAGGTGAGATAAAAGCCTTTGAAACAAGGTAGGGGAAAACCTTTATTAAAAAAATGAAAACAAGATATTCACACCTACCTCCGTGAATAGGCAAAGACATGAAATACACCACACAAACAATCTCTTTTTGAAAACATGAATCTCTGCAAAGTCTGACAAAAAGATTTCAAGAGTCTGATATGCAAGTGGAGGAATATAACGTATGAACATTAAGGTGCATTTTGAAATGAAAAATCAAAACTTTCAAAGAATGCAGAAACATTTAAACAGAAGCATGAATACCTTCAAAGAGGGAAGAAACAAAATGACCTAAGTGAAAGTCTCTTCATACCCTCGACAGAAAAACGCAGCACTGCAAGACCTGACTACCATGAAATTGGGAAGAACCCAACCCAAGCATGTGTCCAGGAAAAGGGGCAACAGGAAAAGAGAAAAGGTATCTTCAGGAACATACTTTTATTTAAAACCACAAGTAGCAATCAGCCTTTGTGTTTCTAAGGAAACTGAAAAAGACAAGTAAGCAAACCAAGTCTGAGCTTTGCAAGTTAACAGCAAGCCTTGCTACCACAGAAAAGTAAGTAACAACAGAGAAAAGACAAACAAATGGCTATTCAAAGCATTTTAACAAAATATAACTCTTCAATTATGTGAAAAATACTAAACTGCCTGGAAATTACTCCACAAAGTATTCCTAACTTACCATGTAAACCTGTAGCAAAGGAGGTAAGAGAAACTTCTAAGACGTGAAATAAAAGTTTTGTTTTTCCAAGTTCCCCATCTTGCAAAAACTCTCAAGCTTCTGAGGGTATAATTTTTATTTTTAGAACCCTTTTCACCTCAAAATGTATTTAGAAATGTTCTGGCAGCAAACACAGGCATCCTGAAATTTCTACTTGTGGTCAAAATCAGAATGCTTGAAAACGTTACTCAGCTCTGTAACACATCTAGGCAAATAGTTAAAATGCTGGGTTTTCAATGAACATGAAAGAATTCCATCCATCTCTGATACAGTTTTGGCCATGGCTTATTTCTAATTTCTAAAACAAATTCAAAGTCTACAGGCACTTCTTTCCACATACTGTGATTTTGAAAGTTATTTTTCTGTGAGAATTTCATGACAATCAATAGTCTACAAGGATGAGTCACATCCCTTTCAATTACACAAGCAAAAATGGTTTTAGACAACACTTTTGTCACAAATTACTGTCAGCCACTCTGCAGCAAAACATCATAGGACTGCTTTTAACTAGAATTAACAACTTCCATTGAACTTCCATTAGAATTTCATCTATAGTGACTGGCTTAATACAACAAGGATGCTTCTGCTTGAAAGAGAAATCCTTGGGACTAAGACTGTATATTCAAAAATCTTAATTACTAGGACAATAAGAAAACAAAAAGAACAAAAAGCAGAGAAAAAATTGACAACCACAGAAACACACTGCTTGAGTATAACAACAGGTCCAAAACATTCTTGGCATTGATCCACAACAACATGCAAAATAAACTGAGCAATTTCAGCAGCAAGGAGATTGGAACCCAAAATGGGACATCTGCTTCCCCATCAACCATATTAACTCCCAATTTAAATTATGTTCATAAAGAATGTCCTACTAAAGTCAGATAAAGAAACAAGTAATCTACACACATATTAATAAAGGATTGCACTAAACTTAGAAACAATGTGAAATCTCCATCATTCTTTACAACCACTGTATGTTCCTGTCTCTAGTACCTGATCAGCAGACTTCAAGTGCTCTATAATCAAAGAAAAGATTGAAATGGCAGTTTTCTCACAGCCACACATAAATGCAAATCAACATGTAGATTTTGCTGAAAACAGCACGTGGTAAGTGGGTTGTATGGGGTCTTCTCCCCTCCACAAAAAAACTTGTCTAATAATTTCATTGTTTCAAGAAAAATCCAGGTATCATATAGTGGCTGATAGCAAGAGTGCAAAAATTAACAGTATAATAATTTCTGCAATAATGTCTTTGCAGAAATAAACAGAATAAATAATGAGTCTTACAAAATACCTTGTCCAGATCATTTTATTACCAAAGGCTGACAGAGGTAACAAGTGCATTTGTTTCTCTGCAATGCCAGGTTCTCAAAACAGAAAACACAGCTGCCTTAATGCCCTTATCAAATACAGCTGATGCTTATGAAGACCAGCACAGCTGTTTTAAGAATATTCTGTGTCAGTCTTGTTCCTTTGCAAAAGAAATCCACCTTTTCCTCTAGTTAACTATTAGCATTATTATCATATTCACAGAACACCGTTTCACTTGAGAGTGGCACAGTCCAACAATGAAAGGCTGTTCTTTCTGCACTTAAGAGCCTGAAAAAAGAAAACACAGACAGCATACCACAAGCAAACTGTCAGCTTGCTCATAGAAGATCAAGAGCAACTCTTGTGCCTCAACAAGTCTTTGAAGTGATGGCTGTAATCCTGTGTAACAGGAGTTCTGTAATTGAGTGGAACTGAGGAAGAAAATTCATATTCCCTGAGATTTCCACAAAAAGATATTTGTGTCTTGTAAAGACTACAAATGTTTGGAATACAGCATTAGAAGTCTGAGAACTGTAAAAGTGATTCAGTATTTCTGATAAACTCATAGCAATGTGTATTAAGGAAACCAAAATATCAAGAAGTTACAGCCAATATACTTTACAATGAAATCTGTTATCACTTAATACAATGTTTTGTTGTTCTACATCTTCATTTGTGTTACAGGGAGACAAGAAAATAAACAGTTGCACACAGATTTTTGTTATTTATTTGCCAACTTCAAATGCTGAAACACATTATGTTTATACTAAAGAATAAATAAAAGGGAGTGACAGCTCACTAGAGAGACCATCAACACAAACCTATACTTTTATTCATAAAATCTCATAATTAATGACAAAAACTATTCTGATTTCTTTGCTGACTTCTCATATGCTGTTTGTTTTCCATACAGCAACAGAAAAACCATCTGTGCTAAACCAGAAGATGCAGCTCCAGAAATGACAGAGTTTCCTGGAGGTGATGTTCAGAACAAGGTATGAGTACATACAAACCTCTCCATATTTTGGAAGCTGACAGTCTAACACTTGGGAGTTCATCATACCAGATATAAAAAACTGCCACTACAAACCACACCATTTTCTGGTTTGGGTACAAATTTGACTTTTCCTCCATGCAACTGCATAACTAACTACTTTAATCTACAAGAAGCCCAAATCCCAAATCCAGTAACAGAACCCTCAATTAAGAGATTTTATAAATCACTCAATGAACAAATGAAAGCAAGTAATTACATTAGTGACTGCAGTACAACTTGAACAAAATAACATTTTATCTTAAAAACAGATAAAAGGGAGAAAAAAAGGTTTTGTGCAACAGAACACACAAAAATACCACCTAAGGCAATTGCAGAACCAGAAAGTGGAATGATGGCAGGCATCAACACAGTAGTAGCAAGACAGATAAGGAGAAAAAGGTTTCTGATTAGAGTAATTGGAAAAACCTTTTTCATTTCATCTTAAGGCCACATCTTGTTCTACAGAATCTACTTCAGAGTATTTAAACCTACTAAAGTAAAAGTCTCTTGGGGATAACAAAACCATAAAATATTTACCCCAGACACAGCTGCAAAGAGATGTATAATTGTTGGGTTAAGCTTCTCAAAATATGTTTTCCTCTGTAGCTCAGGAACACGATAAAAATCACAACCCAAAGTAGATTTTTATTTTTGTTTTGCACTGAGGAGGGAGCTGACACACAAACCAATCTCGTGGAGTGAGAGCAGCCTCAGTGAGTCAGGGAAGTGCATAGTAAATAATTCCACTAGAGAGATAGCCACTGCTTTCTGTGAGCTAGACTCCACTGTGTAAGATAAGACATGAGAGCATATTGGAATGGCTCAGTGAGACCCACAGGAGTGCTAAAAGCCAAGGCACTTGCCAAGCTGACAGTGTGACTGAAGCCTTGGCTCCCAGTCAGCATGTCTAACACATCCTGAAGTATGCACCTACTGCCTGCCTAAGCCAGCCCCATCAAGGACATTAATGAACACTTTCCCAACATCTGGGTAAGCAAATCCACTGCTAATCCTCTTGGAATACTACCATAAATTCCAAGCACAGGAAATTATTTTTACAGCATGACACTTACCTTGCCTTCCTTTTTTTTTTTTTTTTACTAATAAAGTTGGAGAGGAAGAAGCAATTACTACTTACAGGAGAAGAAGAATACCTGTTTCCATCATTACTGTCAAGTGGGATTAGTGGATCTGGGAAAATGACCAAACTACCTCATTTACCTCCCAGAAGTGTTTAGCTTTACTCACTCCTACATTATTTCATGGGGACCTTCACTGAAGGCAGATGCAATAAAAATCTCATCACTCCAAAAAGACACTTTTCCAAAAACCTCACCAGCAGCTGCTCATCAAGATGTTCTAGCCTAATTAACAAGGACTGTTTTGAAATAAAAACATGACTTGCCCTATTCCTCTGCACATATTTTGTCAAAATAATCAGAACCAGTGGGATTTTTTCCCCTCTCTAAGAAGCAGAGCCAGAACAATCTGTCTGTAGCTCAACAAGTCCTGAGTTCCTTACAAAGTGTTCAGTAAGTCTTTAATCACTGTATTTATTCTTAAAGGGTAAAGACTATCTGATAAGGCATACCTAAGATGACAACCAAATTGCACCAACTAGAAAACTTTTATTCAGTTTGCATTTTTATAAAGTACTTAAACACATTTACACCAAAATGTAGTGGAAAAGCAAAAGATAAAATTAGTGTAGCACGAAACAAAAAAATCCACTGAATTTCTCATTTAATACTCCCCTACAGAAAGGTTTGGCAAGATTTACTCAAGAGACATATTTACTACTAGCCAGAAATTCATACCTCTAGTTCTATAAGTGCTGCAGTCACTGCATCTGTTGCAAGAGCACCAGCCTGTAGCTTTTCAATTGCCTGTAAAACAGAAGTTTAAGCTGATGATTAGGAAATCCTATTATTCTTTAACTGAGCCCTACGTTTTCCTGGTCCTGTATAAAATAAAATCTTCACCAAATTAGTTTAAAGTGTAAGAGCAAGAGGCACTGGAAAAAGTCAGTTATGAACCATGTGAGGGCAGATCTGAAGGTATGATTTTACTGCTATGACATGGTGACACTGCATTTAGTAGCAGATTTCTGCAGAGTCCAATTTATATCAAAATAACTTCTTATACCCGGTGGCCTCAAACACCAAATGTTTCAGTCAACAAGTATCAACTTTTCCATCCAAGATTCAACAAAAATTTCTAGCACCACATATAACAATTACCATAAAACTGAAGGGAATTTCACAACTTCATCTAAAAACTAACACAAATCAAGTAAGATAATGTTATCTTCCAATTTATATACACACACAACAATGAACTTGTAGAGCCCAATACTATTTATCAGATCCATACTGAACAAGACCTTAGAGCCAGGGGACTCCAGAAAACAACTCTGGCTGCAAGACAAACCTCAAATTGTTTGTTCTTCACAGAAGTTATTGATGTTGGCTACTCAGCTCAAGAGTAGCTACACAGAATTTCAAATTGGACTTGAATTCAACAGCAGACCTCACATAACTACCTGGAAAATGTCTTTCACCAAGGCTAATAAAGCCAGTGTTAAGTTTGGATGATTTGTGAGGCCTCTCATTACAAAATTAGATTGGTATTAGGATTGAGCAACAAGCTGTAACACAAAGTGATAATTATCAGAGACCAACTCTGAGACTCTTCCAAAAATCCTGCCAAGCTCCTTCTCCCTGGAGAAAGGAAAAGACATTAAAACTTTTAGGGAGAGGTCTTCCAGCTACTCATTCAATACTTAAAAGACAGGACTTGCCAGTTCCAAAGCAAAGTTCTTGGAAGAGATGAAAACATATTAATTTCAAAGGAAATGAAAGTCTTGCCATTTCTCCCTTTCCAACTTTGATTTTTTTGGTTTTGTTTTTCCTGTTTCTACCTCTCTTCCTATTAAAAGGGTAAGGGCTATCAAGAAGAAAATAATTCTAAAAACCCCTGCATTCACAGAGCAACTTGGATGCTAGAGTTTAAATAAACTCCACAGAGTGGACATGGAAGAAATCAAAGTACAGACACCATATATAGCTCCAGAAACCCTAGAGAAGTGTAGGAATACTCTTGCAGGTACCACTGTGACTTTCTCTTGTTCTCCCACTGTTCCTTTGGTGTCTGTTATTTACCAGCACTGATGAGGATGTTGCTGCACCTCACGGTCATGCACTGTGCTGTCTCTGGACCATGTTAACTGTTTCTGCTCTGTTTTCCCTCTTTTCCTTCTATAAACACATAGAGCCTGAGCAGCTAAATCCAGATATTTCTTGTGTACCCAGTAGAGGACTGTGGAGCTGGTGACATGTACCTTCTGGCAGGCTCTTTTGCACACATGCTTGTACTCTTTAGCTTTGGATTCGGAATGATAACCTGCACCTGCAATTGAAGAAAAAGGAAAATAAATTATAGTACCTGGCAAACTACAGCTGTAGTTCACATAGAGATTTAAGACACAGGCAGATACAGCACTCCTTATTCTGGATTACACTGGCATTTCCTTTTTTTATCAATGATTGACAACTTGATGCATTCCAACACAGAATGAAACACACTCAGTAAAACACAGGATACAGATCATATATCCAGAAGCATGCAGGTATAAATATCAGCATCAATCTCATCCTATAAAAACGTTCCAAGACATTCCAGTTTCACTCATTCTTGGAGTACTTCCAGCACAGGTTTTTTCTTTACTGTCCATTATTGGGCAAAACTGATTTTCTTTTTACCACAGTTAGCAATCTGCTCATCTTCTCATGTTTATACTAGATTTTTAGAGCTTGTTACACCTGATTTAAGACAAGGAGTTCCTTGAAATGAAGATCATAGAGATTCTTCACCTTTTTCTTATTTGCAGCCTTTTTATCTATCCTGCTGTATTGAACCATTCTGCCCTATTTTGAAGCCACTGCCCCTACTTCCATACCTGAAAAATTTATCAATGCCACCATTCTACATGCAGCATCAGAAAAACAAGAGTGACACACTTGTATTTAAAGTCTACCTCTGTTTTGCCGGGTTTTGCACCGAAAATGTGCTTGTCTTTATCTCAACTTCCCTTTGCTCACCCTTAGGGATATTAGTTTTGAGAAACTCTAATAAAATAACTTTAACACTAATACCAAAGTGACCCAGTAAAGGACACCATATTGAGTAATTTCAACTGCCCTTAAAATAGAATACCATGGTCACCAAACATCAACCCAGAATAAATTATTTGAGGTTTGGGGTTGTTTTCTTAACCTTAATGATTTTATAAAGCAAGTAAGACACACATAATACATAATTTTTGTATCAGATCTGAGTAGAGAAGCCCTTCATTACATGTGGAAAGAATAAAGAGTAACTCACTTAAATATGAACAAGATCAAAAAAATAGACATGGAAGAAAAATGTCAGAAGGGTAGAAACAGTTCTGCAACAAACAGCCCAAGGAGATTTCAGAAGGTTTTAGTTGGACTGCCCTCATGGACAAGAAACCATCAATAATGAAACAACTGTATGTGATCCCTCCATCAATAAAAAACCAGACTGAAATATCTCCCTCATTTTGTAGGTTTGCCGAGCTGAGCAGACAAGTGCAGAATGTAACATTTTATAATGATTTAAATTTAGGGGTTTTCTACGTCAAGGAGAACAAAAATATCATCCAGAACACACAAACAGCTATTTTGATTAAGTTTTCAGTGCAACTTCCAAACTCCCCATTCCGAGACTTGCACACACAGTTAATGTCACTTCATTAGCACACTAGTAGTCCAAAGCCACTATAAAACTTTTGTTGGTATCTAGTTTGATATCAAAATATGCATTATTTCCATTCTAGCTGTTCTGCTTCCACATCTTACCTGCATGGACAAGCACAAATCCCACTCGTTTCCCTCTTTGGGTTTGCTTTGTTTCGGGCTCTTTGACCACCACTTTTACAGCTGTAACCTGAGATGATTTGGAAGGTAACACTTCTACTGAACTTATCCCCTTCTCCATGATCATACATTGGGATCACCATCTTCTACTGGGAAGGAGCACACTTCCATTCAAAAATAAACTCTGGAGAGAAATCATCCTAAAACCAGATCAGATGTATGTTAGACACTGATTTCAAGAGATGAGATTTGCATAAATAACCTCAGAAAGAACTTATGGGAGAGCTTTGAACCAGGGGAACACTCCTCTCCAAAGCAGGGCTTCCAAGTTCTGCCTCCTCCCCAGCCAACAGCATTAATGAGACCTAAATTAACCAAAGTTCATGTTGCAAGCTGCAAGTAGCCTCTTCACTACAACATAACTTGACCCAAACGATCTTCCCAGACACTGGAAGGAACTGTTAATATAAGTTTCGATTTGCATGATATCCTGTTTTCCAACAATACAACTAATTCCTCCACCCATCACATCTAACTAGCACATGAGTAACCCCAAAAACACTACACCTTTTCATTTTTTTTGCAGGGATTACCTGTTCAAGATGCTCTAACAAACTCCTTTTGTACTGTTTCATCCCATCTCCTTATAATTCCCCACTAATTTGCAGCAGGAGAAGATAGTTTTTTTTTTTAGTATTTCTAAAACAAAACCAAGTAAACCTAAAACAATCAAATAAAGTTGGTCTGGGTAAGTAGAGCTATCATGACACCTAGTGAACCACAACATGCTTAAGTCAAGCTCAGTTTAGTAACTATCAGTTGAGATGGTTACCCTTAAGATGTTAAGGAAAATAATGTTTATAGAAAGCTAATGGAAATATTGTCAGCATTGTCTAGTACATGAAACAAAAAAGTAACAACACAGAATGATGTATTTATCAGGAGCTGCCAAACAAACTCTGTGTTTACTGCTGCTCTTATCCACAGCTTACTACATATTAATCCTGACACAAAACCATTTGTCTATTTCAGCAGATGAAAGAGAAACAGAGATTCCAAACACTGAATTACTTAGGGAAGTGAAAAGCATGTAGTGTTAATGCAGAAATGGAGAAAACTTCTGTAATATATTAAGAACTAGATTAATTTTAAGGTCCCTTCCAATCCAAACCATTCTCAGACTCTACACCTCTATATTCCAGTATTATGTCTATCACTCCTACCATCTCAAAAAGGACTTTGTAGCCCAAGAACAATGGAAGGTGAACAGAAGTGGAAAAATGAGATGTTTAATGCATAAGACTTAAACCACTGACTCTGCAAATACTATATGGCTTACTCCAGCAATTAAATACCATTCCACTTAATTGGCCCAAACTATGCAAATGATGTCTAGCAAGATTCTGCACTGCCACAGAATAAATCAGCTGGTTTGCCATAACTATTCTTCTGATAAAAAATAGCACAGCTCTGGAGGAAATTACTTATTTACCATCATTTCTTCTTAAATGATAAACATACCTAGTAATCTTCATACATTTATAAACTTACTTTTCAGAATTAAATATTAACTTAGTGTTGTAATTACATATGTCCTGATACAAAATGAAAGGCCACTGCAATATATAGGGTCTACAGAGAGAGAGTGTGTTTATGGATTATATCTAATTGTAATGGTCACTTGAAAAAATTTCAGTGCTGAAATTAAAGCATTCATCACTGCATTTACTTCCTTTTTACCAAACAGTAAAGAATGCTCCAGCAACCATTGGTCCTCTTTGCTGCATCTTATTACATCCTAGACAAAGTCACTCCTGCAACAAGGGCACAGCACAGGCTTCAGTCAAGAGACACAGGAGCAGGTAAGGAATTTAAACTCTCACAGGAATGGAAGAAATAGTGTGGTGACAGGGAAAGTAATAATGATGATAAAATGGCTTTTGGACATTAAGATCGAGATGTCACTTCAAGATGTACTAACAGTGCAACGCAGGCTGAAAATCCTAATTGGGCCTTGGCATACAACTGGATCTAAGGATGTGTTTATTTCTACAGAGAACATACACGCAACCTATCTCTCTCTTTTGCTTCTGTCTGTAACACTTCCACATACTCAATTTTCTCAAACCCCTCTCATCCCAAACTGTTCTTCAAGTCCTGTCACACTTCATTCACAAACCTGCTCCTTCCAGTTGTTAAGCTCCCACCGGACCCAACTTTTCCCTTTCAAGCCTCTTCTAGGACGTATCAGCTCTCCCTCCCGGCTGCCATACCTCCACCACCCCTGACTTCATCCCTCCTTGCTTCACATTCCCTGCTCTCCACCTGCACGGCGGCGGAGACGGTGGAAGAACACGCAAACAACGCTGACTGCCGGAGTAGAGGAACCAAAGCGATTTTCCCGCTACAGCCCGATGATGCCCTGGCTGCGCTGCAAAAGTAACTCTGACTCCTAAACGGGCAAACCCAAGCACACGCCAGGGCCAGGCCGAGGCAGAGCCGCTCCCGCGCCCCCATCCCGCTCCCCGCTCCCGCCGCCCGGCCCGTGACGTCACGCGGCGCCGCGGCCGCTGACGTCACACGTCACGCGGGGCAGCCCCCGCCGGCGGACGCGCGGACCGCCCGAGACCCCGCGCGGCCGCTTCACGGCGCGGCCCGCTCCCGGCCCGCTCCCGGCCCGCGCAGCCCCGCGGGCAGGACGCGCCAGAGACGCCGTCCCGGGAGAAACGGGAGTGGCGGGTGGGGGCAGCCCCGCGGCGGCGCCGCACTCACCCTGCACCGCCGCCATCCGGGACCGCCCGCCCGCCCGTTGCCTCGGTGAGCATGAGGCGTCCCGCCCCTGCCCCACGCCCATTGGCCAGGCCGCGCCCCGTTGCCGGAAGTGACGTTATTTGATTGACGTTCCGGAGGACCAATGGCGTGGCGGGGCAGTGCTCCCAGCTGTGCTCCGGCACTGCCGCACGATCGGCCTCCCGCCAAAACAGCACAATAGATTCATCTCTCATATCGATATCGATATGAGCTATCTCATATCGATATATAATCAGTACACGTATCACAGAATATGTAATGTACCTATATATCTATGCAATATACATATATGTCATATATCATCAATATATGTATCATAGAATATGTAATGTGCCTATACATTTATGCAATATGCATCTATATCATACAATATGCAACGTACAAATATATGAATATGCTACATACCTATATGTCATATCAATACACATATTTCTATCGATATGCAGATATAGCCTATCAATATACATATATCATCCATCACCTATATATCAACATACAATATAGATAGATATCTATATATATAATGAAATATGCAATATACGTATATTAACATGCAATATACATCTGTATCATATCACTATACATATAACACAGTATGCACTAATACACTACAATACACAATATCCATATGCAGGATACATCGGTATCTACACATGTGACTTCTGATAGCTGTTCAAAACTAACCTTATTGATTAAAAATACTTATAACTCATATTAGACTTGCTAGGAAATTCTCGCAACAATCAGATATTTTACATCATTCTGCTTCAGTGAGCGTTTGACTATTGTGTTCTGCTAGAGATATTAAGTTTTTATTAATTTCTGTCCTCTTTGTTGTAGAGGTGACACACTGTTTTCTGAGGCTGCCTTCCCAGGATCAAGGGCAGCTGTATATGAATCCCATTTCCATGATGCCTTCTCTGATGGTCACTGTCATCAGTCCTGGGAACCAGCTTTGTATGTGTAAGACATTTCATTATCCCAGTCCATGCTGTCCACTGTTCCCAAAGTGCCTCCACACTTCCAGCTCCTTGCTCCTCTTCTTTGTAGAACCATGAAATGAGTCCAGATGTCCCTATGGGTTTATTATATTGTAAATTTCTTTTAGCTGACACCTCAAATTCTCACTTGCAAAGCTCGGCCTTTGAAAGTTGAAACTCTAAAGCTTTTATTAGATCAAGACAAGGTTATTCTGTTTGCAGAATTCACTTGATCTCTTGCTCAAGCTCCACTATGAGAAGGGATATATACTATAGAACAGATTATCCTGACCCTTCTAGATGAAGTAGATTTTAACTCCTCAGTTTTGTTTTCCTAGAAGCCCAGCATGTAGCTGTTTCACTGGTTCCTGCAAGAGTGGACAGTATCATTCATGGTCTGCTAACAAGCTGTCAGAAAATCACCTGCTTCGGCCAAACAACAATTTCTGCAAACACAATTTCTACGGTACCTCTCTGACAACGAATTCATTCACTACTAATAAAAGCTGTGTTTCTAAATAAACAATTTTAATAACAATAATAATCTGTACGAGTAATCTCGTAATGCATTGCTCCATTTGCCTAGCAGTCGTTGTTTTTTCAGTCAGAGAAAGAAAGCGCTGCCTCCTCGTCCAAGTCCTTCCCCGCTCTGTTGTTCCTCGCTCTCTGGAGGGCGTCCCCCCGCAGGCAGCGCTGGCGCAGGTGCCTCAGGAGGCTCCCGATGGAGGCAGAGTTTTGCTGCTGGTGGCCGAGCACCTCGGTCGCCTCGTCACTGAGGGGGCAGCAGTCAGCCAGGCAGCAGCTCCTTGGCCAGGCTGAGCGTGTCCAGGCCTTCTGCTGGGAGACACAGGGCAGGGAGCTCGGTGAAAGGGGCAGAGGGGCTGCGGGGGCCGGGCCCCCTTGGGCTCTCCTGGGGAATCCGGGGCCTGGCTGGGCTCCCCAGGCTGCAGGCCGTGTGGAGAAGCCCTCGGGCAGGTCCTGTCTCGTTCTGGTGGCTCAGCCTGTCCTTGTTTCCTCCTGGGAGGAAGGGGGCTGAGCCGCACCTCTCCTCCGGGCTCGGGCACGGGGCTGGCAAGGGGCGCAGGAGCCTTGGTGCCTGCCCAGGCTTTGCTCTCCACAGGGGCTGGCGCTCCTCACCCTGCACGTTGTAGCTCCCGGCCCCTGGCACCGTGCCACCTGCCCGGTGCCCGTGGCTCACCTCTCTCCGCTGCCTCCGGGCTTTTCTGCGGAGGCTGCAGCCGAGGCCGAGCGCGGCGAGCAGCAGGGACAGGGCTAAGAAGGTGCAGCAGTGGCCCTGCAGGGCCCGCGGGCTGGCGCTGCCCGTGCCAGCGCCCGCACGCTGCTGCCCGTGCCGGGCTGGGAGCGGCAGCCGGGCCGCGTTCCTGGCGGGACAGCTGCGAGCTCCGAGGGGACCGGGGAGCAGCGAGGCCACGCAGAGCCCCAGGAGCACGGAGAGCCCCGGGCGGAGCATGGCCGAGCTGCGATCTCTGACCCTCAGCCCCAGCCGAGCTGAGCGGCGCCCACGGGCTCTGAGCAAGGTGGTGGCATCAGCTGCGATGTCACAAGGCTGTTGCCTTGGCAGCCAGAGGCTGGGAATGTCAAGGCAAGGCCAGACCGGAGGGTCTGAGAGTGTGGCTGCTCTGTCTCCCTCTGCCATTGCATTTGAAAATGAAGATAGAGATGCCACTTTAACTAGGAACAAAACTCCATACTGAGAATCCTAATTAGCCCTTTGCAAATATTTGGCTCTTGGTATATATTTATTTTTACATATGGTTGACTTATCTCAGTAATTTTATAACATTTTTGCTCATCAGTTTGGACAAACCACTTCTATCTCAAAATATTATTCATGTCCATTTACATTTCATTTAGGAAACTGTTGCTTCCACTTTGTAAGATCACACTGGACCCATCCTTTCACTTTCGAGCTTCTCCTAGTATTTATCAGTTCTCCTTCCTGGCTGTCATACTTTCCTCAATCCTGATCTTGACCCTCCTTGTCATACAGTTTGCTGTTCCACATCTGTATAGCTAATGAAACTGTAGTGGAATGCACAGTAATGTGACTCCTGAAGAACATGAACAAAAATGTTTTAAGGATTTGGGGGTGCTGGTGTATAAGAGGCTGGACATGATGTGGCAATGTGCTCTGGTAGCCCAGAAATCAACCCTGTTCAGGGCTGCATCCAAATCCCTGTGGGCATCAGGTGAGGGAGGGGATTCTGCCCCTCTGCCCCACTCAGGTGTGACCCCACCTGCAGTGCTGTGTCCAGATCTGGTGTCCCCAGCACAGGAAGGACATGGAGCTGTTGGAGTGAGGCCAGAGGAAGCCACCAGGATGATCAGAGGGATGGAGCAGCTCTGCTATGGGGAAAGGCTGAGAGATTTGGGGTTGTTCAGCCTGGAGAAGGCTCAGGGGTGACCTGATTGTGACCTTCCAGTACCTGAAGGGAACCTACAGGGAAGATGGAGAGGGACTGATCACTAGAGCATGGAGTGACAGGACAAGGGGCAATGGACCCAAACTGACAGAAAGTAGGTTTATATTGGATATTGGGAATGAATTCTTCCCTATGAGAGTAGTCAGGCACTGGCACAGGTTGCCCAGAGAAGCTGTGGCTGCCCCATCCCTGGGAATGTTCAAGGTCAGGTTGGATGGAGCTCTGAGCAACACGGTCTCCTGGAAAATGCCCAAAGCCCTGACTGCACTGCTCGTCTGCCAGACTTCAGTTTTTGAAGGGAATTTTGACAAATTACATTTCTGCAGCACTTCCTATAGGACTTCCTAACAAAAACAATTTCATTCACTAGCCAAAATACATTTCTTACAAATAATAACTAGTGGCAGATTGCTTTCGCTTCTTGCCATCACCAAGAAAAGTTCCATTTCCTTTCATGTTTGTGGTGAGCACAGGTTATATTGTGTATTAAACATTAGCAGGAACTTGCACTGAACTGGTGAGAACCAAAGAATCACAGAATGGTTTGGGTTGGATGGAGCTTTTAAGGAACATCTAGTCCAAACCCCCCTGCTGTGGACAGGGACATCTGGAAACTAACTTTTCACCCTCAGATTTTATTCCATCTCTACCACATCCTAATCATCCCACATAGGATCTCCCCCAGGAATTCAGAAGGCTCCTTCCTGGCCTGCCTAATAGTCACAGAAACCCTTTCTATGGCTTTTTTCCCCAATAAAAATGTGCTTCCACTTTTGTATTATTGACTTCTTTATTCAAAGACCAGCCTTTCATTTTTTTAACAGTGCAAAATATGTCAGGAACAAATGCAAGTCTTTTTCAGCGCAAGTTTTTTGGCACACAAAACTATGTGGCTTTTGGAGAGCAGCTTTTGTCTTCCACATTACCAGGTGCTTCCTATTCTGTTGGACAAAACTACAAGTAAATAATATGCAGTCCACAAGCCCTCAGGAAATCTTTGGCCTTCTTTCACAGATTTTAACCTGAAGTTCAAATCCCAGTTGCGAGTTGCTTTGTTGCCACATTCTATTTGGGGTTTTTTGTTTTATTTAAAGCCCTCGTTATTCTTGACAGTGCTGAAGTGAATCAAGGAGATTCCTCAAAGTACTTTCTTTTTGCTTCTTGGATGGCAATAGGTACATTTGAGCTAGGAGAGACTGATTTGAGGGAAAAGGAAGCTGTTGTGGAAGTGTTGCAATGCACTTGC